GGAGCTCTCCAAACAGGTCAGGGACAATGTTGTGGAGAAGTACAGATCAGGGTTGGGTTATAAAAAAATATCAGAAACTTTGAACATACCACGGAGCACCATTAAATCCATTATTAAAAAATGGAAAGAATATGGCACCACAACAAACCTGCCAAGAGAGGGCCGCCCACCAAAACTCACGGACCAGGCAAGGAGGGCATTAATCAGAGAGGCAACAAAGAGACCAAAGATAATCCTGAAGGAGCTGCAAAGCTCCACAGCGGAGATTGGAGTATCTGTCCATAGGACCACTTTAAGCCGTACACTCCACAGAGCTGGGCTTTATGGAAGAGTGGCTATTGCTTAAAGGAAAAAATAAGCAAACATGTTGGTTGTTCCCCAAACATATGGAAGAAGGTACTCTGGTCAGATGAGACTAAATTTGAGCTTTTTGGCCATCAAGGAAAACGCTATGCCTGGCGCAAACCCAACACCTCTCATCACCCCGAGAACACCATCCCCACAGTGAAGCATTGTGGTGGCAGCATCATGCTGTGGGGATGTTTTTCATCGGCAGGGACTGGGAAACTGGTCAGAATTGAAGGAATGATGGATGGCACTAAATACAGGGAAATTATTGAGGGAAACTTGTTTCAGTCTTCCAGAGATTTGAAACTGGGACAGAGGTTCACCTTCCAACAGGACAATGACCCTAAGCATACTGCTAAAGCAACACTCAAGTGGTTTAAGGGGAAACATTTAAATGTCTTGGAATGGCCTAATCAAAGCCCAGACCTCAACCCAATTGAGAATCTGTGGTATGACTTAAAGATTGCTGTACATCAGCGGAACCCATCCAACTTGAAGGAGCTGGAGCAGTTTTGCCTTGAAGAATGTGCAAAAATCCCAGTGGCTAGATGTGCCAAGCTTATAGAGACATACCCCAAGAGACTTGTAGCTGTAATTGCTGCAAAAGGTGGCTCTACAAAGTATTGACTTTGGGGGGGGGGGGGGTGAATAGTTATGCACACTCAAGTTCTTGTTTGTTGCACAAGAAAAAATATTTTGCATCTTCAAAGTCGTAGGCATGTTGTGTAAATCAAATGATACAACCCCCCCAAAAATCCATTTAAATTCCAGGTTGTAAGGCAACAAAATAGGAAAAATGCCAAGCGGGGTGAATACTTTCGCAAGCCACTGTACATGGTGATTTTTTTATGAATGTTGTCAGTAATAGTACAGTGACAGTCAGTAGTACCGTACCAGTACTGTTCTCAGAGGAGAGGAAGAGAATGTACTGTAGAGCGTATATTAGTCTCTTCTCTTGCTGTAGAGAGCATCTAGTAGTCTCTTTTTTTACCGTAGAGAGGGTATATTAGTCTTTCATTTTTATATTTGGACTAATTTACTCCATGATGATGGATGTGGACTAATTTATTCCCTATATCATGCACTACTTTTAACCAGCGCCCTATGGTTCCTGGTCAAAAGTAGTGCACTACAAAGGAAATAGAGTGCCATCATCTCTTCCAGCACTTTCAAATACTTTGAGTTTTTGGGGGGTTTGTATCATTTGATTTACACAATATTCCTACCACTTTGAAGATGCAACATATTTTTTATTGTGCAACAAACAAGAACTTGAGCGTGCATAACTATTCACCTCGCCAAAGTCAATACTTTGTAGAGCCACCTTTTGCACCAATTACAGCTGCAAGTCTCTTGGGGTATGTCTCTATAAGCTTGGCACATCTAGTCACTGGGATTTTTGCACATTCTTCAAGGCAAAACTGCTCCAGCTCCTTCAAGTTGGATGGGTTCCGCTGATGTACAGCAATCTTTAAGTCATACCACAGATTCTCAATTGGGTTGAGGTCTGGGCTTTGATTAGGCCATTCCAAGACATTTAAATGTTTCCCCTTAAACCACTTGAGTGTTGCTTTAGCAGTATGCTTAGGGTCATTGTCCTGTTGGAAGGTGAACCTCTGTCCCAGTTTCAAATCTCTGGAAGACTGAAACAAGTTTCCCTCAATAATTTCCCTGTATTTAGTGCCATCCATCATTCCTTCAATTCTGACCAGTTTCCCAGTCCCTGCCGATGAAAAACATCCCCACAGCATGATGCTGCCACCACAATGCTTCACTGTGGGGATGGTGTTCTCGGGGTGATGAGAGGTGTTGGGTTTGCGCCAGACATAGCGTTTTCCTTGATGGCCAAAAAGCTCAATTTTAGTCTCATCTGACCAGAGTACCTTCTTCCATATGTTTGGGGAGTTTCCCACATGCCTTTTGGCAAACACCAAACGTGTTTGCTTATTTTTTTCTTTAAGCAATGGCTTTTTTCTGGCCACTCTTCTGTAAAGCCCAGCTCTGTGGACTGTACGGCTTAAAGTGGTCTTATGGACAGATACTCCAATCTCCGCTGTGGAGCTTCAGGGTTATCTTTGGTCTCTTTGTTGCCTCTCTGATTAATGCCCTCCTTGCCTGGTCCGTGAGTTTTGGTGGGCGGCCCTCTCTTGGCAGGTTTGTTGTGATGCCATATTCTTTCCATTTTTTAATAATGGATTTAATGGTGCTCCGTGCGATGTTCAAAGCTTCGGATATTTCTTTATAACCCAACCCTGATCTGTACTTCTTTACAACTTTGTCCATGACCTGTTTGGAGAGCTCCTTGGTCTTCATGGTGCCGCTTGCTTGGTGGTGCCCCCTTGCTTAGTGGTGTTGCAGACTCTGGGGCCTTTCAGAACAGGTGTATATATACACTGAGATCATGTGACACTTAGATTGCACACAGGTGGACTTTAACTAATTATGTGACTTCTGAAGGTAATTGGTTGCACCAGATCTTTATTTTAGGGGCATAGCAAAGGGGGTGAATACATACGCATGCACCACTTTACCGTTATTTTTTTTTTTATACTTTCTTTTCATTTTCAAAGTCAATTTAAATTACAGGTTGTAATGCAACAAAATAGGAAAAAGACCAAGGTGGATGAATACTTTTGCAAGGCACTGTAGGTGCCATTTGGGTCGGGACACAGTCAGTGATTGAGGTTGAAGTGTCAGTGAAAACATGAATTCATCCATTTCCCCAGAAGAGATACATTTGCACTCACAACTGGCACAACTAAAATAAAGCAAAGGGAGCAACAGCGACAATCTCAGATTCAAACAGACTTTCATTACTTCATTCCACAAACAGAAGCATACATTTCCATTGCTCTTATAACTTTGGCTTGGCAGGGTTTACACACAATGGCCTCTCATTATAAAATGTAATTAGTGCCTGTGAATGCCAAATATGTGGTTCAACTGTGGAGCACACATGGGGAAAAACACTAGAAACTAGACTACTGGCACTTGGGCTTTATTTTCTAAATGGAATTGGGCTGAGAGCTCTTTTTATTGTGGCATTATCTAAAGAACAGGAAGACTAAATATCGTACATGATGGGTCCTCACACTTGTGTGATGCTTCACCAACCCTGATAGAGGGCAAATTGCAAAGACCCAGAGTTAGGCCTACTGTAGGTAAGATTTACTTTAGACCTGTGATAACGTTTACCAAAGTTAAGCTTTTTTGTGGGTTTCATGAGTATGTGCTCAAGGCTCACTGAGACAGTAACTGAAGGATCCCAAATTGCACCCTTTTCCCTTTATAGTGCACTACTTTTTACAAGGGCCCATAGGGTGCCATTTAGGATACACAGTATGTATGCACACTGGTCGCTATGACCAAACTAATGAGTTTAAAGCGGTATAAAGACACATGGCCCTGGTGTTCTTGTGTTAGTCCAATTCCCTTTCAAAGCTCCACAAAAGGACAGTCTCCATGGAGAAATGCAGAAGTCCTTTAGTTGTTACTTACTGTCCATAACTATGCGATTCTACTGCTGCTGACTACCCGGACACTATCCACTTCAAGCTCCCACTAAGGATACATTCCAAATGGCACCCTATTTCCTACAGCCATAGGGCTCTGGTCAACAGTAATGCACTATATAGGGAATAGGCTTGCCTTTTTGGACGCTCTCAAACTTAGTGAACCCCACTTCCTCAGATCATAATATTGTACTCTTTTTTTTTTAGATAATGATTTGGCGGATGCCTTTCATGGTACTCAAGGACATATAAGAGGCTCAAAGTAGTTTGTTACAGTATATAATTATATTAGTCTCTTTACAACACAGCTGCATTTATCCCACTAGGATGAGAATGTCAACGCTTGTTAAATGTACTCCTGTTGCCCCTCGATACTAACTCAATTCATGGTAATGATGGGGAAAGGACTGAACTGTTTGTGTACTTCAGCAAACTATTTTAGATTCAAAGAAATGAATGCATGCATGAACTAGGTTTCATTGATGTTGATCTCAGACATAGGGAGAAATCTTACTTAAAAAGGAGGGTCTTTTGACAAATATGGTGTACATAAAAACAGATAGAGGATACAAAAGTTAACTATTATATTAAAATATGTGCATCCCAAATAGTTATTGGGAATTCAGCAGACCCCTCTTTGACCCTCGTAATTCATTGATCTTCTCCTCTGCCATATTCTGTCCTCTCCCTGGCCATGACCCCTGTTGCCTAGGAAACAGCGTGGACCCCTCACCATGCAAGGCAACAGTACTGAGCTCTTTAATGCCACCCTGTGGACAAGATACATTTCATCCTAGGGACCGGTGAAGTGGCAACTAATCCGCATACAGTATGAGCCATATTTGTATTTCTTGTGACAACACCCATAGGAGGAAATATAATTATCTCAAGCAAAGGTATCTGACCTTTTGCCTATATTTACTATTTTTACAGAAATTAAAAACTAGTCATGTATTATCCTATTCAGGACATTGTGGAATCTGTAAATAGTTGGAAAATATTACTTCAGTTATAAAAGCAACCATAGCAATTAGGTACTGTTATAACACCTTTATTAATTTGAGCTTAAGAATATAGACCCAAAAATTAAATACCACTCCAAAAAAAAATCAGAAATAAACAACCCCAATCCCTCAATGCTCAGAGTACCACAATTTTTTCATTCAGGGCGATCTGTGCTTGAGTCAGATTCGATAGATAGGTCACCATCAACAGGTCCTGCAAATAGGAAACAGTATACATTTACACAAATGTCATGAGGGCAAGGGACAAATACAGTATGTACTATAGCTGTTCAACTGAATCAATTCTACAGTTCAGGGGCTGTATCGAGTGTCTCAGAGTAGGAGTGCCGATTTAGGATCAGCTCCCCGCAGTCCATGTAATCGTATTCATTCATTGTGATCTAAAAGGCTAAACTGATGCTAAAATCAGCAATCCTACTCTGAGACACTTGATAAATACGGGCCCAAATTCAAAGGAGGCATACTCACATTGATGTTGGAGTTGAGCATGGTCTCAAAGTCCTCTGCTGAGATCTTAGGAACCTTGTTGACAAGATCCATCAGGTAACGTCCAACACTGTTATCCGCTGTCTGCTTACCAGACTGAGACATCCACAGAGAGAAAAGTATTTAAGAAAACTAAGCTATGTAATCTTCTCGCTGTAAACACTACCCAGAGCTGTTTATAACATATCATGCAGCTGGCATCTACACACAGATCACTCCAATAGCAACGCAAACAGAGACTACTGACTGAGAACCCGAGCCCTATGGGACCCTGGTCAAAAGTAGTGCACTACATAGGGAGCCATGTGGCACGCAGCCATTTATAGGCTCTGTGTATGTACTCACCAACACATCCTCGATGTAGGTCAGTACCGTGGCCAGCATGTCCTGAACCCGGCCAGCAGCCCCGCCCACCTGGCAGAGGTCAGAGGTCAGCCCGTTGGTGGTGTTAGGAGCATCTCTCGTCCTCTGGAGAAGGTCAACTGGTATATTAAAAAAGGACAATATTTTAAATGTTTTATCTAGGAGTCCCCCCCAAAGTAACATATGATGTAACAAATAAACAACATCCAAGAAAGGCACAAATTGGGACATATATCTTTTTTTAATCGATAGAAAACGTGGCAAAGAAAGAGAAGAACGTTCTTACCGCCTATCCTCTCTGTGTCATAATACTTGTATTTCACACTCAGAGGGGTGAACATCACACCGACTGTCTTTCCCGGCACACCCATCTGGGCACTGTCAGAGGAAACAATAATGAATAATAATGAATAATAATTAATTTAACGTATAAAGCAGGTGTTCTCAAACTTTTTGGGGCCAGGGAGCCCTTTTGTGATAGCAAATTCATCAGGGACCCCCTCAATCAGAACACAACTCAAGAGATTAAAAAAATATTGCATACAAGGAGTTTTACTATGACTTATTTCCTGTACTGTGGATACCAATATCCTTGTGAGCATCCCAGGCCCATGTTGCCCAGGGTTAAGAGCATAAAGTATTACATACACTACCGTTCAAAAGTTTGGGGTCACTTAGAATTGTCCTTGTTTTCGAAAAGAAAAGCAATTTTTTTGTCCATTAAAATAACATCAAATTGATCAGAAATAGTGTAGACATCGTTAATGTTGTAAATGGCTATCGTAGCTGGAAACGGCTGATTTTTAATGGAATATCTACATAGGCGTGCATAGGCCCATTATCAGCAACCATCAGTCCTGTGTTCCAATGGCACGTTGTGTTTGCTAATCCAAGTTTATCATTTTAAAAAGGCTAATTGATCATTAGAAAACCCTTTTGCAATTATGTTAGCACAGCTGAAAACTGTTGTGCTGATTAAAGAAGCAATAAAACAGTCCTTCTTGAGACTAGTTGAGTATCTGGAGCATCAGCAATTGTGGGTTCGATTACAGGCTCAAACTGGCCAGAAACAAAGAACTTTCTTCTGAAACTCATGTCTATTCTTGTTCTGAAAAATGAAGGCCATTCCATGCGAGAAATTGCCAAGAAACTGAAGATCTAGTACGCTGTGTACTACTCCCTTCACAGAACAGCGCAAACTGGCTCTAACCAGAATAGAAAGAGGAGTGGGAGGCCCCGGTGCAGAACTGAGCAAGAGGACAAATACATTAGTCTAGTTTGAGAAACAGACGCCTCACAGGTCCTCAACTGGCAGCTTCATTAAATAGTACCCGCAAAACACCAGTCAACGTCAACAGTGAAGAGGCGACTCCGGGATGCTGACTTTCTAGGCAGAGTTGCAAAGAAAAAGCAATTTCTCAGAATGCCCATCTTAATGTTTTCTTTTTATTGGCCAGTCTGAGATATGGCTTTTTTTGCACTGTTCTGTGAAGGGAGTAGTACACAGCGTTGTACGAGATCTTCAGTTTCTTGGCAATTTCTCGCATGGAATAGCCTTCATTTCTCAGAACAAGAATAGACTGACGAGTTTCAGAAGAAAGTTATTTGTTTCTGGCCATTTTGAGCCTGTAATCAAACCCACAATTGCTGATGCTCCAGATACTCAACTAGGACAGTTTTATTGCTTCTTTAAAATCAGCACAACAGTTTTCAGCTGTGCTAACATAATTGCAAAAGGGTTTTCTAATGATCAATTAGCCTTTTAAAATGATAAACTTGATTTAGCAAACACAACGTGCCATTGGAAGACAGGACTGATGGTTACTGATAATGGGCCTCTGTACACCTGGTTTTCCTAATTACAAAGCATGTAGAGGTCTGTAATTTTTATTATAGGTACACTTCAACTGTGAGAGACTGAATCTAAAACAACAATCCAGAAAATCACATTGTATGATTTTTAAGTAATTAATTTGCATTTTATTGCATGACATAAGTATTTGATACATCAGAAAAGCAGAACTTAATATTTGGTACAGAAACCTTTGTTTGCAATTACAGAGATCATACGTTTCCTGTAGGTCTTGACCAGGTTTGCACACACTGCAGCAGGGATTTTGGCCCACTCCTCCATACAGACCTTCTCCAGATCCTTCAGGTTTCGGGGCTGTTGCTGGGCAATACGGACTTTCAGCTCCCTCCAAAGATTTTCTATTGGGTTCAGGTCTGGAGACTGGCTAGGCCACTCCAGGAGATGCTTCTTACGGAGCCACTCCTTAGTTGCCCTGGCTGTGTGTTTCGGGTCGTTGTCATGCTGGAAAACCCAGGCATGACCCATCTTCAATGCTCTTACTGAGGGAAGGAGGTTGTTGGCCAAGATCTCGCGATACATAGCCCCATCCATCCTCCCCTCAATACGGTGCAGTCGTCCTGTCCCCTTTGCAGAAAAGTATCCCCAAAGAATGATGTTTCCACCACCATGCTTCACGGTTGGGATGGTGTTCTTGGGGTTGTACTCATTCTTCTTCTTCCTCCAAACACGGCGAGTGGAGTTTAGACCAAAAAGCTCTATTTATGTCTCATCAGACCACATGACCTTCTCCCATTCCTCCTCTGGATCATCCAGATGGTCATTGGCAAACTTCAGATGGGCCTGGACATGCGCTGGCTTGAGCAGGGGGACCTTGCGTGCGCTGCAGGATTTTAATCCATGACGGCGTAGTGTGTTACTAATGGTTTTCTTTGAGACTGTGGTCCCAGCTCTCTTCAGGTCATTGACCAGGTCCTGCCGTGTAGTTCTGGGCTGATCCCTCACCTTCCTCATGATCATTGATGCCCCACGAGGTGAGATCTTGCATGGATCCCCAGACCGAGGTTGATTGACCGTCATCTTGAACTTCTTCCATTTTCTAATAATTGCGCCAACAGTTGTTGCCTTCTCACCAAGCTGCTTGCCTATTGTCCTGTAGCCCATCCCAGCCTTGTGCAGGTCTACAATTTTATCCCTGATGTCCTTACACAGCTCTCTGGTCTTGGCCATTGTGGAGAGGTTGGAGTCTGTTTGATTGAGTGTGTGGACTGGTGTCTTTTATACAGGTAACGAGTTCAAACAGGTGCAGTTAATACAGGTAATGAGTGGAGAACAGGAGGGCTTCTTAAAGAAAAACTAACAGGTCTGTGAGAGCTGGAATTCTTACTGGTTGGTAGGTGATCAAATACTTATGTCATGCAATAAAATGCAAATTAATTACTTAAAAATCATACAATGTGATTTTCTGGATTTTTGTTTTAGATTCCGTCTCTCACAGTTGAAGTGTACCTATGATAAAAAAATTACAGACCTCTTCCTATGTAGATATTCCTTTTTTTTTTTTTTTATCAGCCATTTCCAGCTACAATAGCCATTTACAACATTAACAATGTCTACACTGTATTTCTGATCAATTTGATGTTATTTTAAAATGGACAAAAAAAATTGCTTTTCTTTAGAAAACAAGGACAATTCTAAGTGACCCCAAACTTTTGGACGGTAGTGTATGTTAAGAACGCATTGTATTTTATTACACCCTCTAAACCTATTCCAGAGATCCTTGGCCAAAATTCATTTTATATCTGTCGTGGACCTCCTGCGGACCCACAATGAGAACTCCTGTTATAGAGCAGGAAGTCACAGAGAGTTGAAGCAATTCTTTCCGTCAACAATAGCTTTTCAGTGGACAAACAAGTAATGAGACAGAAGAGAGACTGGTTGAAGTGAAAGGTTGTGAGGGAAGTCACTGACCTCACGTAGGCGCGGATGTTCATCTTGCCACTCTGCAGGGCGGTGTCCATGGTCAGGTGAATGGGGTTTGTGGCCTCTCGGCTGTAATACTCATGGATTAGCACAGAGTGTTCCGTGATCTCAAAGCCTGTGGCATACCTGTTGAAGGAGAAGGGTTTAACTTCAGAGCAGTGTGCTAACTCCAACATAGGCTTTTGGACACAACATTTTATTTTAGGGAATGTACCTATTCTATTCAATTGAATACACTGGGTCATTAATTGTTAGTACTGCCGTGGGACAAAAGCTTAAATGGATGGGAGTAGGAAAACATAGGCCTACTCACCATCCGATGATGACCTCGCTGGGTGACACCCTCTTATGGAGCTCATACATGTTCTTGGCAAACTCCATGTCCACAGCAACCTGTCACCATCAAAGACTAGTGTCACATGTACAAACTTTGCTCATTTCTACATTACAGAGATCGATAGATACAGTTGAAGTCGTAAGTTTACATACACTTAGGTTGGAGTCATTAAAACTTGTTTTTCAACCACTCCACAAATGTCTTGGTTAACAAACTATAGTTTTGGCAAGTCGGTAAGGACATCTACTTTGTGCATGACACAAGTAATTTTTCCAACAATTGTTTACTGACAGATTATTTCACTTATAATTCACTGTATCACAATTCCAGTGGGTCAGAAGTTTACATACAGTAAGTTGACTGTGCCTTTAAACAGCTTGGAAAATTCCAGAAAAGGATGTAATGGCTTTAGAAGCTTCTGATAGGCTAATTGACATCATTTGAGTCAATTGGAGGTGTGGATGTATTTCAAGGCCTACCTTCAAACTCAGTGCCTCTTTGCTTGACATCATGGGAAAATCAAAAGAAGTCAGCCAAGACATCAGAAAACAAATTGTAGACTTCCACAAGTCTGGTTCATCCTTGGGAGCAATTTCCAAACGCCTGAAAGTACCATGTTCATCTGTACAAACAATAGTACGCAAGTATAAACACCATGGGACCACGCAGCCGTCATACCACTCAGGAAGGAGACGCGTTCTGTCTCCTAGAGATGAACGTACTTTGGTGCGAAAAGTGCAAATCAATCCCAGAACAACAGCAAAGGACCTTGTGAAGATGCTGGAGGAAACCGGTACAAAAGTATTTATATCCACAGTAAAACTAGTACTTTATCGACATAACCTGAACGGCAGCTCAGCAAGGAAGAAGCCACCGCTCCAAAACCGCCATAACAAAGCCAGACTACGTTTTGCAACTGCACATGGGGACAAAGATCGTACTTTTTGGAGAAATGTCCCCTGGTCTGATTAAACAAAAATAGAACTGTTTGGCCATAATGACCATCGTTATGTTTGGAGGAAAAAGGGGACACACCTTGCAAGCCAAAGAACACCATCTCAACCGTGAAGCACGGGGGTGGCAGCATCATGCTGTGGGGGTGCTTTGCTGCAGGAGGGACTGGTGCACTTCACAAAATAGATGGCATCATGAGGAAGGAAAATTGTGGCTATATTGAAGCAACATCTCAAGACATCAGTCAGGAAGTTAAAGCTTGGTCGCAAATAGGCCTTCCAAATGGACAATGACCCCAAGCATACTTCCAAAGTTGTGGCAAAATGGCTTAAGGACAACAAAGTAAAGGTATTGGAGTGGCCATCATAAAGCCCTGACCTCAATCCTATAGAAAGTTTGTGGGCCGAACTGAAAAGCGTGTGCGAGCAAGGAGGCCTACAAACCTGACTCCATTACACCAGCTCTGTCAGGAGGAATGGGCCAAAATTCACCCAACTTATTGTGGAAGGCTACCCAAACCGTTTGACCCAAGTTAAACAATTTAAAGGCAATGCTACCAAATACTAATTGAGTGTATGTAAACGTCTGACCCACTGGGAATGTGATTAAGGAAATAAAAGCTGAAATAAATAATTACCTACTATTATTGACATTTCACATTCTTAAAATAGTGGTGATCCTAACTGACCTAAGACAGGGAATTTTTACTAGTATTAAATGTCAGGAATTGTGAAAAACTGAGTTTAAATGTATTTGGCTAAGGTGTATGTAAACTTCCGACTTCAACTGTAGCATCAGTTTCTACTCACCTCATCTTCAGACTCATTATGGGGGACAGAGAAACAGTTGGTGACCTCAACAGAGTGCTTGTCAATGGTACCTGAGGAACACAAGAATGCAACAAGTTATCATAATATTGTGTTTATGGGGACAATAAGTTCAACTACTCTATATGGAACCTCTATTACTCACTAACTAGCTAACAACCTTTAAACTAAAAACCACTCGTAGCCTAGAGAAGCTAATACGTTAGAATACTTGGTAAAATCGTAAGTTAAATTAGAGCTTTCTTTGGTAGCTAGCTAAGCGGCTATGATTTTCAAGATGTGAGAGACTGACAGGCACCCAACGAAGTGATGCTAGCTAGGACCTAGCTAGCGAGACATGCCGGAACTCCCTGCGCTTCGAATACATTTTCTTCACAGCTACGTTTCGGAGTAAATTTAAATTACCAAGCAAAGTTCCGATCACACGACTCGCTCCCTCATTTCTCCGTTCGTATGAATCACCGATGGAGGCGAGAACGACAGGGTGAATTTTCACCACGGGTCCGTACACCGACATCTTGAGAAATAAAATAATGTATTACGCTTACAGTCGTTTTTTATGCAAGTGACAAGTACAGAAAGGTGCGTCACCTGCTGCATTGGAGTTGGTATTGCACACAGAGGCGACTTTATATTAAGCACTTATAATAAAAGTAGTAGACTATAATACATGTGATTAACCATTAAATGCATCAGAAGACCCATTCATTTAGAAAAATATTATCCATTAGTTTATTTTAAGGCAAAGGTTTATTTTTAGGCAATTTGGCTGTACAGGAGAAAAACATTGGTTGTTTCACATTAAATGGATATGAATTCATTTATTTCCAAAACGTCATCCTCCACAGCACGAATACCATTATGACCTACTGCAAGCCTATTGAAGAATAGTGGTGGTGATGACGACAGCATCCCCTCGACGGTGACGTCATGATCTAACACCTGCACAGCTGAAGTAATTCATACAACTCTATCTGACGCGGATCGGTGGTGCTGCTTGCACTGTCTGTACCCAATGATCTGTACGGACGAACTTCCACCATCTTAAACTCTTTGAAAACAAACTAGGAAAATACAAGAATATGCTATTTGTCAACACTAAACGGCTTTTTATATAATTAGCCCGCTTTCCATTGAGGATAACATCTAAAAAACAGTCGTTTGGTTGGGGTTGCCTTTGTTTCCTTGTGAGAGAGGAGAGACTGAACTGATGCTTCGTCGAACACCCACCTGATCATCAGAGCCGATGGTAAACATAAAAAATGAGTAGGAATGAACCTGAGCCGACGATCGTCGAGGCTCACTATTGGACCATCGACTCATCTATCTGTAAGGTCCTTATAAATAAAGCCACGGGATAACATATTAGGATAACCACGAAGGTAGCGTTTTAGGCATCCCGACTCCATTTTAACATGAAACACGATTATTATTCATATTAGAAGGAAATTAGCCTGATTGCTGTTTTGTGTTCTTATAGGCTATGTATTACAGAATACATTAAAAGTGGCATTGTACATTTTCTGAGTAAGAATAGCCTTCTTACTCGGTAAAAATATTCCTGTAATTCATTGGGCCCCATAACAGACAGACAGACAGACATCTATGACACACACATACACACTCCCCATCCCCCCATTCTATTCTTACCTATTCCATAAATATAGATTATTAGACTAAAAGTAATTGGGTGGTTTGAGCTGAGAAGGTTCAGTCAAGGACAGACATCCCAGTAAGCAAAATGAAGTTGAAAATACGTATTTTCCAGACGTTGAAGTTAGGTTCATTTTAGGTTGAATGAAAGGTGAAAATACGTTTTTTTCGGAAGTTTAAAATACATATTTTCCGGACCTTGAACATACATGTTTTCTGGACGTTGAAAATACGTATTTTCCGGACATTGAAAATACCTATTTTCCGGATATTGAAGTTAGGTTAATTTTAGGTTCTGAATGAAAGGTTAAAATACACATTTTCCAGATGTTGAAAATACGTATTTTCTGGACGTTGAAATCAGATACATTTTTGCTTCTGAATTAAACTTGAAAAGACTTCATTTACAGACGTTGAAAATACTTATTTTTTGGTCATTGAATCTATGGCCAAATTTCAACAGCACACACATTCTCAATGAAGTAAGCATTATAGCCCAATAATAATTTTTAAATCCATGACGAAAGTGGAGCCAATTGAAGATTGTAACATAGAATAATCCTTATTGCTCCCATTTGTCACATGCACTCACATGCACTTATGTTAGCTTTTTCAAAAGCTTTAAAACTTGCCGAGATGATGTTCAAAGGAGTCTAACCTACAGAATAAACCAACAGACCACGGACTAACAACATTCTCAGTAACAGTTTAAAAAAGATATTGCTATGACTGTGATATGTTGTTAGTTGAATGCACTGACTGTAAGTCGCTCTGGATAAGAGTGTCTGCTGAATGACCAAAATGTAAATGTGAAAACAGAAAAAATCTGAACGAATCATAAACATCTAGGCTATGTTTCACAAGTTTGAACAGTATAGTACGGCACAGTTCAGTACAGTAGAGCACAGTAGAGTAAAGTGCGGTTCAGGAAAGTAGAGTTTTATCCTGTAGAGTAGAGTATAGTACAGTTTAATTCAGTACAGTACAGCAAGCAGTACAGTAGAGTTTAATTCAGTACAGTACAGTAGTGTTTAATTCAGTAGAGTATAGTACAGTACAGTTTAGTTCAATAGAGTACATTCGACTAAAGTAGTGTACAATACAGCACATTATACCGTACTATACTCTACTATGCTCTACTGTACTGAACTATACTGTACTGTACTGAGCACAGTAAAGTAGACGTCTATGATTGGTTCATAATTAGTCCGGTCCGGATCAAATATCTATGTCCATGGACATTGAAATCAAGGCCAGTACGGATCACACTAAAAAAACATTTAATAGAAGATGGCCGGTCTGGACAGGACCAAAAAAAGATGTCCAAAAGACATCGCCGTTGGTCCGTGCTTATGGGATTGGTATTGAGGACAATTTAGTGAGGGACAGATTCTGCTTCCCAAATGGCATCCTAGTTACTATAGTGTGCACTACTTTTGACCAGGGCTCATAGGGAATAGGCTGCCATTTGGGATACAGTTATTCAGTATAGTGAAGGGCATCAGTTCTGCTCAACACTAGCCCTACAGTCCCTGTAGAAAATATGTACTGAAAGCAGAGCACTTTAACTACGCCACTCTTCTATGATCTCACAATAATAATTTGGATCAATTTCCTTGTTTTGTATCCCAGGACCTTGATGCACAGAACTGGATTAAACGGTCAATAACCATTGGACAGAGTCTGCCATAGGAATAAATTGAGGACCCAGGTACACGAACACACACACACCATCATTCCTGATGGCGCTTGAGAACTCTGCTTTCACCTCGAGGCCAGAGTCCCTCTCTCTCCCCGTGGTGGAGAAAGGGGAGGTGCTGGTGGAAGAGGCTACCGAGGTGGCGGCGTCCACCGGAGTGTTTCATGTGTCCGAGGAACTGGGCCATGTGGTTACCACAGATACCGCCCAGCCCTCCGCTAACAGATCGTGGAAGTCCAAGCTGGCAGAGAGGCAGGCCAATGCAGCATCTGATGAGTACGTTAAGAAGCTGCCCCGGGTGGTGGAGAAGGAGAGGGGCAGATTTGGCTGGGGTGAGTAGTAGTGCTGTTAACTTTAACTGCGTCCCAAATGGCACCCTATTGGCATCCCATAGGGCTCTGGTCAAAAGTAGTGCTCTTTATAGGGAATAAGGTGCCATTTGGGGGACACACTTTCTCTCCCGGGACTATTCTTCTTTTCTGCCCTGAGAGATTGTTGGTGCCGCGAGAGTGAATCTATCTAAAAGGAGAGGTTACTAAGCAACCGTCTGACAGTGTTCTGTGACCAATGTAAGAGAGAAAAGGTTTTGTGTTTGGCTTTGAATGATTTACACTGACAGACTGTCTGCATCACAAATGGCACCCTATTCTCTATATAGTGCCCTGCCCCTGGTCAAAAGTAGTGCACTATATAGGGAATAGGGTGCCACAGTCTGCAGATAGGGGGTTATTGACTATGCACTCTAAATATTATTTTCTCTACCTCCACACTCATTGACCGAACATGTGTACTTCCTCCCTCCTTATTCCCCTCCTCCAGCATCTCCTCCTCCTCCAGCATCTCGTCCTCCTCCTCCTCCTCCTCCTCCAGCATCTTCTCCTCCTACTCCTGTGCAAAATGTCTGTTCCTTTGGTTTCTCCCTCAGTGATTTGGATATTCTCACAACAACCCCTCTGTCTTCCTATTACTAAGTGCCTTTAGTTCTACTGTCGATACGTCACCTAGTGACTCAACTCTCCTCGATGGCTGCTGGCTCTCACTCACTGTACCCCTCCTCCCTCTCTCTCTCTCTCCCTCTCTCTCCCCTCTCTCTCCCCTCTCTCTCTCGCCTGGCTCCCTGCCTGCAGCTAAGAGACGTAAGAGGCAGCGCTATGTGGAGAAGAATGGCAGATGTAACGTGTCACATGGCAACATGAGGGAGACGTACCGTTATCTGACAGATATCTTCACTACCCTGGTGGACCTCAACTGGCGCTGCTCTCTTTTCGTCTTCGTTATGGCCTACGCCATCACCTGGCTCTTCTTCGGAGCCATCTGGTACCTGATAGCTTACCTCAGGTGAGAGAGACAGAAAGCAGGCCAGGACAGCACTCCCACAAAGCATGCCAGGGGACACTTGGGATGCGTCCCAAATGACACCCTATTCCCTATTATCCGCTCAGTCCCACAGCACTACTTTTATGAATATAGTCACACTTTTTAGAATGCGTCCCAAATGGCACCCTATTCTCTATACACCCTATTCCCCTATGGGCCCTGGTCAAAAGTAGTGCACTAGGGAAGAGGGTGCCATTTCAGACACATCCATGGTATCACTGTCTTGAGAGAATCACTCTAGATCAGGGGTCCCCAATTACATTCAGCTGTGGGCCGATTATTCTTCTAATGGGCGGTCTGGAGCCCGGAACATAGTTATAAATAATTTGTACACTGCAAATTGACTGTAAGAATCCCAAACAGATATATTTGACAAAAACAGTATAATTTCAAACCTTGATTACATTGGGATACGATCACATATGCCTTTATGCGTAGGAATACTTGGGAACAGATTTCCTAAATTAAAATCACTTTACTACGATTTACTGGTGATTATACAGTCTTTTATGTCCATCAACAAAAATAATGAAAAATAAATAAATACATTTTGCTCAGAAAATTTGGGGGCCAAATATAATCACTGCCTATTGGGGAACCCAGCTCTAGATGATGCAATGTATTCTCTGTAGAGCAAGTGGAAGTATATTAGTCAATGGATAGTTTTTTTCACATCCTACATTTTTGTCACCTCTTTGCTTCTTTCCTTCTCTCCCCTTCACTTTCCCTCCCGCCTCCCACCCAGAGGGGATCTAGATCATCTGGAAGATGAGACATGGACACCGTGCGTCAACAACGTGAACGGATTCATCTCGGCCTTCCTCTTCTCTATCGAGACAGAGACCACCATTGGTTACGGCTACCGTGTCATCACTGACCAGTGTCCAGTGGGCACCATGCTGCTCCTGCTCCAGGCCATACTGGGATCTATGGTCAATGCCTTCATGGTGAGACACATGGTCTGCATCTCAAATGGCACCCTATTCCCTCTACTTTTGATCAGAGCCCTATATAGTACAATACTTTTGACCAGAGCCCTATGTAGTGTACTATTTTTGACCAGAGCCCTATGTAGTGTACTATTTTTGACCAGAGCCCTATGTAGTGTACTATTTTTGACCAGATCGTTATATTGCAGTGGCATGTATTCTTGGATGTCAAGGGAAGCCAGGCTTCCCCCCCAAAAAAATCAGTGTTTCATGATTTTCCTTCAATTTGCAAGAGGCTGAATGTATCTCACCGGAGAAAGCATCCGAGCGAGCGAAACAGCGCCCCTCTGTCTCTGTATTTGTAGCCCATCTATCTGAAGCTGTCTGGTCAAAAAGAGTAGGACATTGTTGCTGCCCATAACATTGAATGCAAGGGAAGCCAGCAAGCATTTGGCCTCCCTTGGCGTTTCTGTACAAGTACAGTGAGTCAACATGTTTTTCTACTTGCACGAACACACACACAGAAATCAGAACCATTGACAGTCACATCATGCTTACGTTGATTAGACTCAATTGTTTTTGGTATCTTTTAGTTGTCACTGTATTAGACTAAGCATAGGTGATTTGATGATGTTGAAATGGTGCTGGATTAGTGGAGGCAGCTCCAGTTTAATTTGTGACTTGATGGAATTCTCCATGTTTCTAAATCAATAGTTGTTTAGTAGTCCGAAAATGTCGTAAACATTAACTTGCTTGACCATGCTGTAGGTCATGTACAGTTGAGGGATAAACGTATTTGATCCCCTGCTGATTTGTACGTTTACCCACACTGACAAAGAATGATTCAGTTATTAATTTTAATAGTAGGTTTATTTGAACAGTGAGAGATAGAATAAACAAACAACAAAATCCAGAAAAATGCCATGTCAAACTGTTTGTTATAAAGTTGATTTGCTTTTAATGAGGGAAATAAAGAGTTGGACCCCTCGCAAACATTACTTAGTACTTAGTGGCAAGGCCTTGTTGGCAATCCACAGGGTCAGACGTTTCTTGTAGTTGGCCACCGGTTTGCACACATCTCAGTGCCCTGGCTGAGGGAAGGAGATTCTCACCCAAGATTGGACGGTACATGGCCCCGTCATCGGCCCTTTGGATGCGGTTTGAAGTTGTCCTGTCCCTTAGCAGCAGAAAAACAACCCAAAGCATATGTTCCAACCTCCATGTTTGATGGTGGGGATGGTGTTCTTGGGGTCATAGGCAGCATTCCTCCTCCTCCAAACACGGCGAGCTGAGTTGATGCCAAAGAGCTCAATTTTGGTCTCATCTGACCACAACACTTTCACCCAGTTCTCCTCTGAATCATTCAGATGTTCATTGGCAAACTTCAGACGGCCCTGTATATGTGCTTTCTTGAGCAGGGGGACCTTGCGGGCACTGCAGGATTTCAGTCCTTCACGGTGTAGTGTGTTACCAATTGTTTTCTTGGTGACTATGGTCCCAGCTGCCTTGAGATCATTGACAAGATCCTCCCGTGTAGTTCTGGGCTGATTCCTCACCGTTCTCATGATCATTGCAACTCCACGAGGTGAGATCTTGCATGGAGCCCCAGGCCGTGGGAGATTGACAGTTCTTTTGTGTTTCTTCCATTTGCGAATAATCGCACCAACTGTTGTCACTTTCTCACCAAGCTGCTTGGCGATGGTCTTGTATCCCATTCCAGCCTTGTGTAGGTCTACAATCTTGTCCCTGACATCCTTGGAGAGCTCTTTGGTCTTGGCCATGGTGGAGAGTTTGGAATCTGATTGATTGATTGCTTCTGTGGACAGGTGTCTTTTATACAGGTAACAAGCTGAGATGAGGAGCACTCCCTTTAAAAGTGTGCTCCTAATTTCAGCTCTTTACCTGTATAAAAGACACCTGGGAGCCAGAAATCTTTGTGATTGAGAGGGGGTTAAATACTTATTTCCCTCATTAAAATGCAAATCAATTTATAACATTTTTGACATGCGTTTTTCTGGATTTTTTTGTTGTTATTCTGTCTCTCACTGTTCAAATAAACCTACCATTAAAATTATAGACTGATCATTTCTTTGTCAGTGGGCAAACGTACAAAATCAGCAGGGGATCAAATACTTTTTTCCCCCACTGTAACTGTTAATTACATGCAATATGCTTTGTGGACTTCACCGGACAGTGGTTGCTCTCCGGTTTTGTGATGAAACAAAGGTGTTGTTGAATTCCTTCTGCCACTGTATCTCAGCCTTAGGCCTATATATCACGGTTGCAAGGCATATGAACTAACAGATTATAGAGCAAACAACACAATTATCACAACACATAGGTTATAATATGACATTTTTTTTCTGGCTTCCCCAGTGATTTTACCCACGCACCGCTACTGCTAAATAGTGCACTTATTTTGACTAGAATCCTATAGTCAAAAGTAGTAGTATATTGAACTTGGACTTTACTACTATAGCCCATAGATACGCATTGACTAACACATTCATAAATGGCAAAAAAAGACAGTCAAAAAATAAATAATAAGGAATAAGGTTTTGAAATGTCTGTCCTATATCTAGGAGATATAAGCAAGCTCAGGAAATATTGTAGTTTTTTTGGACACATATTTAACCCCTTATTTTTGGTGGTACAAAACTACCTCCATACTTCCATTTGTTTGCATGGGTTTCCTTCAAAACGGAGAACGCCATCGTGAGAGTCTCCCCTTTCCACAGGGGGGTCATATTAGTTTGTAGCTCAAACGTTTCAGACGCTACAGACAGAAGTTGGCACATCAGCGTTACCTACTTCAGACGAATCCCGTGACACTTGTGGGGGTCGTAGAGCAAAACGGAGAACACCATCATGTTCGTGAGAGTCTTCCCTTATTAGAGTGGTCATAATACAGACATTGTTGTGAGAAGACCGATTTTCGGGATGTCCCATTGTCTGACAAACACCGCTGTAGCTCGGCCACCTTCCACTGCAGATGCAGAAGGCCGACATAGGCGGATGCTGTGGATTGAGACGCAGCCCATGCAAAAAACCTGTTACAGTATCTCTAGCTTCAACTGACGGATTTTGATGTTTTTTTTTTTTTTTTAATGTTACATAGATTGACGCACGGGTGCGTTAATAGACTCTAAAGGTTACATTTCAAATAATTTCTGAGTAACAATTAAGTACCTTACTGTGATTGTTTTAAACAAAAATGGTCAAAAAGAAACCAAAATAGCTTCTTAGCGAAGAGCAATTTCTCAAGCAAAAATGTTGCTAGGACTGTCTGGGAGTGGTCTTATTGGGGAGGGGAAAAAATGAAAACTAGCTGTTATTGGCAGAGAGGTTTGGAACTCTCTTTTTATTGGTCTATTAACTAATTTACCGCTTGGTGATGTCACCATTCAGACCAAAACTCCATCTCACCAAAACAGGCTGATATTTCAGTCGGTCTTTTCAAACAGCTCTTACACTAAAAGAGCGTTATCATAATGTTCACAATTTCATAGTATTATTCCAACCTCATAGTCAGTGGTGTAGTGGAGGGTATACCCACTTCTTCTGGTGGGCATTATGTATGCTCATTTCTTAATCCCCACAATGCGTATCTAAGTAGTGTAAAGGAGGTATACGCAGCATCAATGAATAAGGCTGATGGAACAGATCAGAATGTTTTGCTTAAAATGTTGATAAACTATTATTTCTTCACATGTTAAGCACAGCAATGTGCACATGGAGGTAGGCCTATGCACATGTGTTCAAAAATGCAATCTGCAGGAACATTTGCAGTTTCATGGACAGAGATGGAAATATCATTAGACATTTTGAAAGAGGTGAGATCTAAAGATGCAACAACTATCATGGGCTGCTAATATGACTAGGATAATTCCTTTGGATGCTAGACAAGGAAAGAAAGTTGATTTGAAAACCAATAGAACAAGAGAGCACATATGAGGAAGTATTTATAAAATAATTGCCTCCATGTTTCAATGGTTGAATTTTGTCTATAGGCTACTTTGAAACAAGAAGTAAGACATGCCTCATAATAGGAGGTAAAACGGCCAGGTTTCAAACAACTAAGGAACAGGAAAAATATATCGCTGCTAATGATAGGCCTAACCGTCTTCTGGTAAATGGAAAGGCTTTCCCAAAAACCTTCTCAATTAAATGTCAATTAGAAATGTTTTTTTTTTTGTAAAAAAGATCAAGGACGATAAGTGTTTCCAATGAGATCATCAACCAATTAGTAGACAGTTAGGAGGCAATTAGTAGGCAATGCCTACTTATAATTGGTTAAAATCACGTGACTCACACCGATGATGTCATTGGAAACACTTATCTTCCTCTATCTTTTTTACTACAAAACATAGAAACGCGCAATTTTCACATACATTATGTTGATGTTGGGGTGGTGCTGGCAGAATGATATTGTGATTATTTGCATCAATCCAGTGGCAATTTATTTTGCAAACTCCATCTCATGGAACACCGCAAACCAAACAACAGTTCTAGGTGCCTGCACAGTTGAATTAAAGGGTAGGCCTAACTACAATCAAAAATGTCAATTTCATAGATTTTTCCCAGACCTCAAAAGTGGTCTCCTAATGTGGTTTAAGCATTGCTGTGGACGTAGAACATCCAATTTAGTTGTTTTTTCTATTTTAAAAAGTGTGACTTTTTAAAATAGGAGTGAAATCCTTGAAAAATTGAAAACCTGTGAATATCTGACTCAGTTGACAGCCTCATTTATCTATCAATAGTAGGCCGCTATTAGCCTACAAAATCGGTGGATGGCTGCTGAGGGGAGGACGGCTCATAATAATGGCTGGAACGGCGCAAATGGAATGGTATCAAACACATGGAAACCACAGGACAATCACATATTTGACTGCACTGGGCCTTTAAGTAATCTTTTTCTTCATCTTTTGATCAGGTGGGCTGTATGTTTGTGAAGATCTCTCAGCCCAATAAGCGTGCGGAGACCCTGGTTTTTTCTAAGAATGCAGTGATCTCTCTGAGAGACGACAAACTGTGTCTGATGTTCCGGGTGGGGGACCTGCGCAGCTCCCACATTGTAGGGGCCAACATGAGGGCCAAACTCATCAAGTCTAAACAGACTCAGGAAGGTGAGGCTAATATACCATCCATCGCCATTCAAGGGGATGCATCCCAAATGGCACCCTATTCCCTATATAGTGCACGACTTTTGGTTTTAAAAAATAGTGCACTATATGGGGAATAGGGTACCATTTGGGATGCGGGAATAGGGTACCATTTGGGATGCAGAATACACATATACTCTATTTCTGTCTACTATGGAAGCATTCAGAAAATATTCAGACCCCTTCCCTTTTTCTACTTTTTGTTACGTTACAGCCTTATTCTAAAATTGATTAAATAATTGTTTTCCCTCATCAATCTATACACAATACACCATAATGACAAAGCGAAAACAGGTTTTTAGAAATGTTTGAACATTTATTAAAATGAAAAAAACGATGCCTTATTTACGTAAGTATTCAGACACTTTGCTATGAGACTCGAAATTGAGCTCAGGTGCATTCTGTTTCCATTGATCATCCTTGAGATGTTTCTACAACTTGATTAGAGTCCACCTGTGGTAAATTCAATTGATTGGATATGATTTGGAAAGGCACACACCTGTCTATATAAGGTCCCACAGTTAACAGTGCATGTCAGAGCAAAAACCCAAACCATGAGGTCGAAGGAATTGTCCGTAGAGCTCCGAGACAGGATTGTGTCGAGGCACAGATCTGGGGAAGGGTACCAAAACATTTCTGCAGCATTGAAGGTCCCCAAGAACACAGTGGCCTCCATAATTTTTAAATGGAATAAGTCAATTTAGTCTATTCCTAGAGCTGGCCGCCCGGCCAAACTGAGCAATTGAGGGAGAAGGGCCTTGGTCAGGGAGGTGACCAAGCACCCGATGGTCACTCTGACAGAGCTCCAGAGTTCCTCTGTGGAGATGGGAGAACCTTCCAGAAGGACAACCATCTCTGCAGCACTCCACCAATCAGGCCGTATTGGTAGAGTGGCCATACGGAAGCCACTCCTCAGTAAAAGATACATGACTTCCCGCTTGGAATTTGCCAAAAGGCACCTAAAGGACTCTCAGACCATGAGAAACAAGATTCTCTGGTCTGATGAAACCAAGATTGAACTCTTTGGCTTGAATGCCAAGCGTCACATCTGGAGGAAACCTGGCACCATCCCTACGGTGAACCATGTTGGTGGCAGCATCATGCTGTGAAGATGTTTTTCAGCGGCAGGGACTAGGAGACTAGTCAGGATCGAGGGAAAGATGAAAGGAGCAGAACAGAGACATCCTTGATGAGAACCTGCTCCAGAGCACTCAGGACCTCAGACTGGGGCGAAGGTTAACCTTCCAACAGGACATCAACCCCAAGCACACAGCCAAGACAACGCAGGAGTGGCTTCGTGACAAGTCTCTGAATGTCCTTCAGTGGCCCAGCCAGAGCCAGGACTTGAACCTGATCTAACATCTCTGGAGAGACCTGAAAATAGCTGTGCAGCGATGCTCCACATCCAATCTGAAGAGAAGAATGGGAGAAACTCCCCAAATACAGGTGTGTCAAGCTTGTTGCATCATACTCAAGAAGACTCGAGGCTGTAATCGCTGCCAAAGGTGTTTCAACAAAGTATTGAGTAAAGGGTCTGAATACTTATGTAAATGTGATATTTCCGTTTTTCATTTTTAACAAATTAGCAAAATTTCTAAAAACCTATTTTTGCTTTGTCATTATGGGGTATTGTGTGTAGATTAATGAGGTGGGGGGGACAATTTAATCAATTTTAGAATAACGCTGTAATGTAACAAAATGTGGAAAAAGTAAAGGGGTCAGAATACTTTCCAAATGCACTGTGTGTGTGTGTGTGTGTGTGTGTGTGTGTGTGTGTGTGTGTGTATATATACAGTACCAGTCAAAAGTTTGGACACACCTTCTCATTCCAGGGTTTTTCTTTATTTTTACTATTTTCTACAATGTAGAATAATAGTGAAGACATCAAAACTATGAAATAACACATTTGGAATCATGTAGTAACCAAAAAAGTGTTAACCAAATCAAAAATATATTTTAGATTCTTCAAAGTAGCCACCCTTTGCCTTGATGACAGCTTTGTACACTCTTGGCATTCTCTCAACCGGCTTCACATGGAATGCTTTTCCAACAGTCTTGAAGGAGTTCCCACATCCTGAGCACTTGTTGGCTACTTTTCCTAAACTCTGCGGTCCAACTCATCCCAAACCATCTCAATTGGGTTGAGGTCGGGTGATTGTGGAGGCCAGGTCATCTGATGCAGCACTCCATCACTCTCCTTCTTAGTCAAATAGCCCTTACACAGCATGGAGGTGTGTTGGGTCATTGTCCTGTTGAAAAACAAATGATAGTCCCACTAAGCGCAAACCAGATGGGATGGCGTATCGCAGCAGAATGCTGTGGTAGCCATGCTGGTTAAGTGTGCCTTGAATTCTAAATAAATCACAGACAGTGTCACCAGCAAAGCAACCCCACACCATAACACCTCCTCCTCCATGCTTTACGGTGGGAAATACACATGCGGAGATCATCCGTTCACACACACCGCGTCTCACAAAGACACAGCAGTTGGAACCAAAAATCTCAAATTTGGATTCCAGACCAAAGGACAAATTTCCATCGGTCTAATATCCATTGCTCGTGTTTCTTGGCCCAAGCAAGTCTCTTCTTCTTATTGGTGTCCTTTAGTAGTGGTTTCTTTGCAGCAATCGACCATGAAGGCCTGATTCACACAGTCTCCTCTGAACAGTTGATGTTGAGATGTGTCTGTTACTTGAACTCTGTGAAGCATTTATTTGGGCTGCAATTTCTGAGGCTGGTAACTCTAATGAACTTATCCTCTGCAGCAGAAGTACCTCTGGGTCTTTCATTCCTGTGGCAGTCCTCATGGGAGCCAGTTTCATCATAGCGCTTGATGGTTTTTATGACTGCACTTAAAGAAACTTTCAAAGTTCTTGAAATGTTCCGGATTGACTGACCTTCATGTCTTAAAGTAATGATGGACTGTCGTTTCTCTTTGCTTATTTGAGCTGTTCTTGCCATAATATGGACTTGGTCTTTTACCAAATAGGGCTATCTTCTGTATACCCACCCCCTACCTTGTCACAACACAACTGATTGGCTCAAACGCATTAAGAAGGAATGAAATTCCACAAATTAACTTTGAAGAAGGCACACCTGTTAATTGAAATGCATTCCAGGTGACTACCTCATGAAGCTGGTTGAGAGAATGCCAAGAGTGTGCAAAGCTGTCATCAAGGCAAAGGGTGGTTACTTTGAAGAATCTCAAATATAAAAATGTGTTTAACACTTTTTTGGTTACTACATGATTCCATATGTGTTATTTCATAGTTTTGATGTCTTAACTATTATTCTACAATGTAGAAAATAGCAAAAATAAAGAAAAACCCAGGAATGAGTAGGTGTGTCCAAACTTTATATATATATATATATATGCTCACTAAGGGCATATTTCCTGGACACAGATTAAGCCTAGTCCTGGACTGAACCTAGCCCTGAAGGTCTCATAACTCACTTCTCACCTGCTCTCTCATGCTCCCCCTCTCCTCATCTCGCCCTGCCTCTCCATCTCTCCTCCTATCCATCTCACCCCCTCTCGCCCTCTCCTCCTCTCCCCCTCTCCAGGTGAGTTTATCCCTCTGGACCAGACAGACATCAGTGTGGGTTTTGAGACAGGGGACGACCGCCTGTTCCTGGTGTCTCCGCTGGTCATCTCCCACGAGATCGACTCCCACTCGCCCTTCTGGGACATGTCTCAAGGCCAGCTGGAGAAAGACGATTTCGAAATGGTCGTCATCCTGGAGGGAATGGTGGAGGCCACAGGTTAGTCCATGGTTGCGTCTCAAATGGCGCCCTATTCAATATATAGTGCACAACTTTTGACAAGGGCCCAAAGGCAATAGGGTTGTCATCCTGGAAAGAATGGTGGAGGCCACTGGTTAGTCCATTTCCTGAATCCCAAATGGCAACCTATTAAAAAACAAGTGTAAAACCGCACACTAGAAAAGACAGGCAACCGACTTAATTTCTTTTTCATTTGCAGTGAATCAACGGACAACGCATTTCGTTACAGATCTTCAGGTTCACATACGCACACCATATTTATTCACAGTTTGTATACTATTTGAACTATGCCTCTGCCTGTTCTCATGATCTGTTATGAGACTGTTGTACAGTGTGGTGCACCCACAGAGATCCTACACACACACACACAAACAGTGAATTCTATGATATCTATGGGTGCACCATGCTTTGAAAGTGGAAGTGCCTTCACTGCCCACTGAGAAAAGATTTGCTTAGTCATCATAGTAGCTGAAGGGGAGCTGCCAGGGGAGGTTAATACAGTATGTGTTCTCACTATGGGTGGGTGTGTGTTTGTTGGCACCCCCAGGTATGACGTGCCAGGCGCGGAGCTCTTACCTGGCAGATGAGGTCCAGTGGGGTCACAGGTTCAGCCCTATGATGTCACTGGCCGAAGGGTTCTTTGACATCGACTATGGCTCCTTCCATCAAACCTTTGCGGTAAGAACACACACACAACACTCCAGAAAGCAGCAAGGGCCGCGGTGTGCTAGCGATCACCTGCTGGATGTCGACGAGTGGTGGCGATTCAACATGTGGAAATAAACAGCTGCTTTTAATTATGTACCTGGCTATGTGCATCACTGCCACTAGAACAGAACAGAACAAAACAACACAGTTAACCGTTTGTCCCTCTGGTATGTTTTCTCTTTTACTCTTGTCATGTCACCAAAATGATTTTTAACGTCTTCTTTCAAGTTGTGTCTGATAACTGCAGCTCATAACTATTTTTCCCTTAGGTGGACACTCCCTCCTGCTCAGCGCACGAACTCTCATTGGCTGCGGCCCGATTGGAGGCTCATCTGTATTGGTCGATCTCCAGTAAGTTGGATGAAGAGAAATGGGAGGGATCTTCTCTAACCAACCAATCAGGGAAGCAGCTAGACAATGGGAAAGGAGGGGTCGTTGGCCCCACATTTATTGTCGGAGAGATCACTGGAATACAAGAGCAGTCAGGACCAGGAGAGTTGAATGGTTGTGTCACCACTGACCAGTCAGAATCAGAGGCCTAAAGTAGATCTGGTGGAGTTCCAAAATGGCACCCTATTCCCTATATAGTGCACTACCTTTGACCAAAGCCCTGGTCAAAAGTTGGGCACTAAATGGGGAATGGGGTGCCATTTTGGGACATACTCTCCATGACATGACAGGAGGACCCACAACTACAGTACTGAAATTACTTTTAGCTAATGAATAGTATACAGCCATAGAACATTTGTTCCCAAGGGAGAGATGGGTGGTTTAAAAAGTCTCATTGCTACTTCATTGCTTTGTTTAATAACACTGACTAGAAATGACAAATTATATTAATTACATTTTGTCTTTAATTTCTTGGGTGATATTTAATTCTTACCATGAGTGTCTGTGCTATACTAGAATTATATTTTCTCTTCTGTTTATTGCTCCGATCATCTCTGCCAACATACATTATATTAATTAATACACTGTTATTTCAAATAATTAAGTATTGACAATTCTTAGTCAGGAAAGAGGATGTTCAGCCAGGTAAGATACTGGAATGTTCAGAGACATAGAAAGAGAAGCATGTTTTGGAACATTCTGGAACATTCAGAGAAATAGAAGCATGTCATGTTTTGGCTGAATGGGGGAGTCAATGTATAAAAAGGAAAGATGTATTACAGATAATGTGATAGAGTGTGATAGAAGAGAACATGTATGTTTTTCACTTTAACATGTATAAAGGAATAGATTGAAATTGTATCCCTAAATCTGTATCTAAAAAAACAAAATAAGGATTGTTTTAAAATATATATAGAAGTCTACGTTAAGAATGGATGACATTAAAACAACTGCCGTTTTGTGATTCATTTAGCTGTACAATCATTACTGTGTTCAATTAAATGTTCACATCACAAGTACTGTAGCTTATCACTGACCCCATCCCAATAGGGTGAGTAGTGGAAGTATTAATCCAACAAGCTTTGAGAAAAAACCAAGCATTTGCTCTCTTGGGAATGTTTCAATGCGCTTTCACATAGAATGTAAGTAGCACAATTAAATATTTTCTTTCGATAGCCTCATAGGATTTAAGCACAACAGTGTCCTGCTCAGCTCAGCTCAGCCCAGCCTCCTGCTTCTGCTGCGGTGTACATATGTGAGCGTTTTTAATATAGAAAAATTACATCTATAAGAATTAATAAACTATATTCCACACCAACTTTCTTCATCTTTGCCCCTCACTTTTATCAATGTGGTCATTATTGCACTTTGCACTGTTAATCCTTGGGGGTACACTGTTTCACTGAACAATTTCACTTCTATCTCTCAATCCATTTGTCCAACAATTTGTTTTGTGTGAGACAATCTGGGTTAGATAGAGTCTATTGGCAATACTTGACAAATCAGAAGTTGCCAGTTCACTCAATGTAGCACAGCATCTGTGAGAAGAGACTAGTGTACCAGTTCACCAATCCCTAGGATGAAATCCCTATCTTGTCCTCACGATGGCACTGAAGAGCTCAGGCCTGTTGGCTGGACAGTGAGGGGTCCCCGCTGTTTCCTAGGCAACAGGTCATGCTCAGGGAGATGGTAATCACTAGTTACCTCAGCCAACAAAGGCATTATGTTAAAACCCAACCTATTCTACAATTTATATTCTTAAAATATGATTTTAAACCTAACCCTAACCACACTGCTAACCTTATGCCTATATGCCTTATTGTAGATTCTGGAATTCATCATTCCAGAATCTACAAGGGCTCTCTGCCCTCTTATCCACGCAGGACGAGGATGATGAAGATGATTGTAAGGTAAGGCATTGCTAACGTTCATCATTGAGATAAGCTGCACTTCTTTTGTGTAAACAAACTTGCTAATAAAACTTTTTTGGCAAACAAACATGACGTTACAACTTCTCCAGTTGAGTTAGCTAGATAGCTAAAACCATAGAGATCCTATTCAATTACTAGAGGGGCTATGTCATAAACCCTCAGTTCCAGAATGCGGTGAAAATAGCAGCCATTGGGAGAAATCCAAAACCAGTCTAATTGGAATGAATGGCAGGAGAGGCATAGGTGATGCATTTCCTGATTTCACTTATGCAGGAAAATGAAAGTAAGTGTCACGAATTCAGCCGAACCTGCCCCTCCTCCTTGCTCGGGCATGCTTCGGCGTTCGGCGTCACCGGAGTACTAGCTGCTACCGATCCATGTTTCTATGTTCTACTTGTTTTGTCTGTATCGGTCTCACCTGTTTCCCATCATGTAGTGATGTCTTCCCTATTTAACCCTCTGGCTCACACTGTGTGTTGTGCGTGTTTGTCCATGTTTTTGGTTGTCGTATGTGAGCGGGTTTGTGCCTCGCTGCGTGGAGGTATGTTCATTAAGATACCTACGAGAAAACCTACGAGTAAAGTACGTTTTTCGATTAGCTCTGTGTCCTGCGCCTGACTTCGTCCTACCGCATTACACTGACGCCTTGAAAGTAAGGCATGTGATATCAGAAATTGTGTAATAGAAATATTGTCAATCTAATAAAAAGACAAACATAATATTGTCATATCCTTATACAGTTTATATAGGTTTTATGCCAATTTGCTGTATAAATAGCCTCTAGACTAGAATATATGTAAACAGACCATAAATGCCTAAATTCTTGTTGTGAGTGTTATTAGGCTGTGAGTGTTACATGAGACAATATCACTACCTGTTGCATTTACAACTTGTCTAAGTCCTATCACTGATTTCAGCCAGTGTATGGCTGTGGATTGACGGCATTGTTTGAATGGAATGTTGGTATATTGGCAGTTAATTTGAAAAATGTATGGAATGGCTGGCTAGCTAGCTAACAAACATACAGTGCATATACATTCTTCAAATTCATTGTTTTACACAGTATCTTATCACAGCACTCGCAAACAACGGTTGACCAACTCCCTTACCAAAATGGCTTAGCTGAGTCAGGACAAAAAGTCCCTTCATATCAGGGCAATAACAACCTTTTAAGTGACAAAAAGGCACCCTATTCCCTATAGGGCACTACTTTTGACCGGAACCCATAGGGCTCTGATCAAAGTAGTGCACTACATAGGGACCAGGGTGCCATTTGGGACGCAAACATTCATAACAAGCAGTGTATGCTGTAGGTATAACAGCCTATGCAAAGAAGGACAGTAAAGCCATCTGGAGTGAGGCTTAGGGGTTAAGGTTACAATTATGGTAAGAATTAGGGTGAGGGAAAATATCATTTTGAATGGAAATCAATTTTAGGTCCCCACAAGGATAGTAAAACACATATTGTGTGTGTGTGTGTGCATGCATGCCATGCGTGTTGATATGAGTGATAATGTGCTATAATGATTATTACTGAGTCAGATTGTTTGTGTTGTTGTTCAGGTATGACATAGTGTTGAAGCAGAGTGTTGGGACAGAGGACATGTTTCTTGGGATGACCAGAAAGTAGCTACTATAGCGGCCAACTCTAATGCAATTTATCTTCTTGAATCTATTACTTGACTTACTTGACTTACTCATAAGGAACATAAGCAATTGACGAATGGAATGTCCTCCATCACGGTTCAGGGAAAAAATGTATTACACCCATCTGAAATTCTAGTGCAGAAATATATTAACTTTTTCCCTGCCAGACACCAAAGCAACAGATATAGTCCTGGATGGATGTGAAGGAGAAATTCCTTGATCTGCGAACACCAAACTTCTAAGTTGCTTGCCTGTCATCCTTCTGCAAAGAGTTCCAGGTTATCAATCCACTGCCAGAAAACGCTTTGCCACGATTTGCTGACCTCCTCTCGTGTTTTATCTCTATCTAAAAGTGTTTTATCTCTATCTAAAACATCTGTCATCTCAGCCATGACTGAAAATCCCCTCTTTATCTCTCCCTTTCTCTGTCTGTCTGTCGGTCTCTGTCTGACTGTCTGTTTGACACACACACAATTTCTCTGTCTCGCTCTTTTTTCCCCTCTCATTAAATCCTTACTTATCTCTTGACAGTAAACTGGGCCTACACCTTCCGCACCCAGTACACAGTCAGGAGGAAAAAGCCCAGTTCTACAATGAAAGACAGGAGCTGGAGGTCACGCTACCCATGAACAGCTTCATGGACCAAAGCAACCTGCAATGAATGACAGTTAGGATGAAATAGCCAATATTATACAAACTGCACTACAACACTTTTTCTGCAATTCCACCAAAGGACATTGCACCAGTGCTTGGCCTAAAGACGCAGGCTTTTGTTACCAATGCATGTAACAGGCTTGAGTTGAGAGGGGTAGGTAGGAATGTGCACAGGTGAGTGCAGAGCCTCCATCTTCTGTTATGAAGCAGAAAAGATGGGTATTGTCATTACTGACACTATGGATTAGAGTTCCATCGGTTTCATTATAAAGTCTGAACATTGACTCTGTTTATGGAATATACGCTCAAAAAAATAAAGGGAACACTAAAATAACACATCCTAGATCTGAATGAATGAAATAATCTTATTAAATACTTTTTTCTTTACATAGTTGAATGTGCTGACAACAAAATCACACAAAAATTATCAATGGAAATCAAATGTGTCAACCCATGGAGGTCTGGATTTGGAGTCACCCTCAAAATTAAAGTTGAAAACCACACTACAGGCTGATCCAACTTTGATGTAATGTCCTTAAAACAAGTCAAAATGAGGCTCAGTAGTGTGTGTGGCCTCCACGTGCCTGTATGACCTCCCTACAACACCTGGGCATGCTCCTGATGAGGTGGCGGATGGTCTCCTGAGGGATCTCCTCCCAGACCTGGACTAAAGCATCCGCCAACTCCTGGACAGTCTGTGGTGCAACGTGGCGTTGGTAGATGGAGCGAGACATGATGTCCCAGATGTGCTCAATTGGATTCAGGTCTGGGGAACGGGCGGGCTAGTCCATAGCATCAATGCCTTCCTCTTGCAGGAACTGCTGACACACTCCAGCCACATGAGGTCTAGCATTGTCTTGCATTAGGAGGAACCCAGGGCCAACCGCACCAGCATATGATCTCACAAGGGGTCTGAGGATCTCATCTCGGTACCTAATGGCAGTCAGGCTACCTCTGGCGAGCACATGGAGGGCTGTGCGGCCCCCCAAAGAAATGCCACCCCACACCATGACTGACCCACCGCCAAACCGGTCATGCTGGAGGATGTTGCAGGCAGCAGAACGTTCTCCACGGCGTCTCCAGACTCTGTCACGTCTGTCACGTGCTCAGTGTGAACCTGCTTTCATCTGTGAAGAGCACAGGGCGCCAGTGGCGAATTTGCCAATCTTGGTGTTCTCTGGCAAATGCCAAACGTCCTGCACGGTGTTGGGCTGTAAGTACAACCCCCACCTGTTGACGTCGGGCCCTCATACCACCCTCATGGAGTCTGTTTCTGACCGTTTGAGCAGACACATGCACATTTGTGGCCTGCTGGAGGTCATTTTGCAGGGCTCTGGCAGTGCTCCTCCTGCTCCTCCTTGCACAAAGGCGGAGGTAGCAGTCCTGCTGCTGGGTTGTTGCCCTCCTATGGCCTCCTCCACGTCTCCTGATGTACTGGCCTGTCTCCTGGTAGCGCCTCCATGCTCTGGACACTACGCTGACAGACACAGCAAACCTTCTTGCCACAGCTCGCATTGATGTGCCATCCTGGATGAGCTGCACTACCTGAGCCACTTGTGTGGGTTGTAGACTCCGTCTCATGCTACCACTAGAGTGAAAGCACCGCCAGCATTCAAAAGTGACCAAAACATCAGCCAGGAAGCATAGGAACTGAGAAGTGGTCTGTGGTCACCACCTGCAAAACCAGTCCTTTATTGGGGGTGTCTTGCTAATTGCCTATAATTTCCACCTGTTGTCTATTCCATTTGCACAACAGCATGTGACATTTATTGTCAATCAGTGTTGCTTCCTAAGTGGACAGTTTGATTTCACAGAAGTGTGATTGACTTGGAGTTACATTGTGTTGTTTAAGTGTTCCCTTTATTTTTTTGAGCAGTGTATTTGTTCTGTTACATGGACTATTGGTTGCATTTCAAGAAATACAATTATTCAACCTGTGTTACACTCATGTATTTGGGGTTTATTCTCCTCATTGTGCTACATTTACCAACACCCTCTTTGCTATAGCTTACCATTATTTTTGATATTATGCAATATTGTTTTATTATAGGTAGTTGTGGCCGTGGGCTGTGTTGACCAATTATTATGAGGGAGTGTATGGTCCGACAGAGTCGCAGTAGTGAACGCATGATCATGTGACGCATACGTTACTTTTCCGGCACAATCCCGGGACGCAACGGCTCCAGATCATTGCTTTACACGGTCCTACTCCCCCCACGCCTCGCTTTCGGTATGGCGGACGGCGAGAGGTCCCCGCTACTAGCAGATCTCGGAGATGGTGTTCTTGGGGGTGGTAACGGCGGAGTGTCACCTGGCTCCGCTCCCTATGGTTTACCAAATAAGCCACAAAGTGAGTATACATGGATGTTCTCCCACCTAGCCAAGGCAATCAGCTAGCTAGCTAGCTAGCTGACAAAACATCGGTTCCTATGATTTCCAGATAGCCAAGAGCACAATTTGCCGTCTAGGTAGGAACATGGACAGCGCGTATTCCGTAAAACATAGTAACGACGATTGTGTCTGCACTGATTCTCTGGGGAATAAGTCGTGGTTGCTAGCCAGCTAGCTGTTGATGCATGCATGCCGGTTAGTTAACTTAGTTGCCTGGCAATATTTCTCTATAACCTTTAGGCATTTTCTGCATTTGTCGTTTAGGCATCATAGTTAAACGGATGTAACTAACAAAACAGAAACACTCATTTATTGTGTTGATTTTGTGCATGGAGCTAGCTAACTAGTCTGCAGCAAGATTGCTAACTAACTAGCCTAGCTATAATCAATTTCTCAGTACAGTGAATGCAAGCTACTATATCCTGATGATCCACGTGTTATGAAATTGCTAATTCTGTGATGTGATAGTGGCCTACAGAAATAAACATTTCAGTGTAGTATTTGTACCACCATTTGAAGATCTACAGCCTGTATGTTCACTCTAGCTAACTAACGTGCTAATCTCGTTTGTGGCGTGCACACGAAGCACCTGATATGATTGGCACCGCTCTGGGCCATTCAGGAAGCTTATAATTACTGCAAGATAAGACGTCGACCAATTACGGTCTCCTGGGGAGGGGCTACTACTGTAACTACGGAAATATCAGAACAGTGACATGAGTTGGGGGGTAACACAGGTGATTGTTCACGTCATAATAACTTACATTCTTGTGTCTTTGAAATTATACAGTGGTAATTGCATATTTCCGTGATTAATACAGATAAGCCCCTGCAGTCCTTTTATAAAGCTCCTTTTCTGTTGGAACTCAAATCTCATTCTTGTTAATCCTCATTTAAAATGTAAAAAAACTGAACAGTACTTTCTGTGTTTAACCCTTTCTTGGTTCAGTGCACTACTTACTCTCTGTATATTAGTCTGTCAATCTGCAAATCTGTGGCTAAAACCCCCCAGATATATGCAATAACTCAATGTTATCAAAAGCAAAAGAGCTGATAAAAAAACAGCAATTAAAAATAACTAAATAAACACAGCAAAAAAAGAAACGTCCTCTCACTGTCAACTGCGTTTATTTTCAGCAAACTTAACATGTGTAAATATTTGTAGGAACAATCAGTATCTGGTGTGGCCACCAGCTGCATGAAGTACTGCAGTGCATCTCCTCCTCATGGACTGCACCAGATTTGCCAGTTCTTGCTGTGAGATGTTACCCCACTCTTCCACCAAGGCACCTGCAAGTTCCCGGACATTTCTGGGGGGAATGGCCCTAGCCCTCACCCTCCGAACCAACAGGTCCCAGACGTGCTCAATGGGATTGAGATCCGGGCTCTTCGCTGGCCATGGCAGAACTGACATTCCTGTCTTGCAGGAAATCACGCACAGAACGAGCAGTATGGCTGGTGGCATTGTCATGCTGGAGGGTCATGTCAGGATGAGCCTGCAGGAAGGGTACCACATGAGGGAGGAGGATATCTTCCCAGTAATGCACAGCGTTGAGATTGCCTGCAATGACAACAAGCTCAGTCCGATGATGCTGTGACACACCGCCCCAGACCATGACGGACCCTCCACCTACAAATCGATCCCGCTCCAGAGTACATGCCTCGGTGTCACGCTCATTCTTTCGACGATAAACGTGAATCCAACCATCACCTCTGGTGAGACAAAACCGCAACTCGTTAGTGAAGAGCACTTTTTGCCAGTCCTGTCTGGTCCAGCGACGGTGGGTTTGTGCCCATAGGCGACGTTGTTGCCGGTGATGTCTGGTGAGGACCTGCCTTACAACAGGCCTACAAGCCCTCAGTCCAGCCTCTCTCAGCCTATTGCGGACAGTCTGAGCACTGATGGAGGGATTGTGCGTTCCTGGTGTAACTCAGGCAGTTGTTGTTGCCATCCTGTACCTGTCCTGCAGGTGTGAGGATCGGATGTACCGATCCTGTGCAGGTGTTGTTACACGTGGTCTGCCACTGCGAGGACGATCAGCTGTCCGTCCTGTCTCCCTGTAGCGCTGTCTTAGGCATCTCACAGTACGGACATTGCAATTTATTGCCCTGGCCACATCTGCAGTCCTCATGCCTCCTTGCAGCATGCCTAAGGCACGTTCACGCAGATGAGCAGGGACCCTGGGCAACTTTCTTTTGGTGTTTTTTGGAGTCAGTAGAAAGGCCTCTTGTTTGTCCTATTGCCTACTGTCTGTAAGCTGTTAGTGTCTTAACGACCGTTCCACAGGTGCATGTTCATTAATTGTTTATGGTTCATTGAACAAGCATGGGAAACGGTGTTTAAACCCTTTACAATGAAGATCTGTGAAGTTATTTGGATTTTTACGAATTATCTTTGAAAGACAGGGTCCTGAAAAAGGGACGTTTCTTTTTTTGCTGATTTGATGTACAAATGTATAGGAGCTCTGTACTTAGGCTGCTACTAGGGCGCCATGGCAAGTAATAGCACTGACTTCGCTGATAGTTGCTTAATTGAATAACTTTCTATGATATGTGGTCTCTTTCCTACCTTAGTTGAATACACTGATTGTAAATCACTCTGAATAAGAGTGTCTGCTAAATGACCAAAATGTTAATGTTCCCTCCTCCCCCCCCCAATCCACTCTCTGTATTTCAGGCTTTCCTCCCTTCCCCAGCCCCACCCAGCCCTCAGTGCTTATGGGGGAGGACCCTCCTCCGTACTCCCCCCTCACCTCCCCAGAGAGCGGCAGCGCGCCAGGCATCAGCTGTAGGGTGTGTCAGAGCCTCATCAGCGTGGAGGGGAAGATCCACCAGCATGTGGTCAAGTGTGGGATCTGCAACGAGGCTACGGTGGGTGACACACACACATCTATCTGTAGTGTCGTCACATCTATAGACATAGTCATATCATTTGTATACAGTGGGCACGCTGGGTGGGTGACCTACTATTCACATAAACCTGCATGTTGGGGTTAATTCCATTTCAATTCAGGAAGTAATCTGACATTCGAATATACCTCATTGCTTCTCTATGTTAATTTTTGGATTTGGAATTTCAGTTTACTTCCTGAATTGACCCTAGGTTGAAGAAAAAAAGGTTAGGACAAGTTATAATTCCATGTGGAAGCTTTTTCGAAAATAAATACATTCATGGGACCAGCACCGTTGCTAACTAGCATTTTCACGGTTGATTTAATTGGAATGGAATTGACCCCGAACCTTCTTGTTCAACGTGTTCACCCTTCTGTGTCCCTCTCCTTCTCCTCTTGTCTCTGTCTCCCTCTGTAGCCCATCAAGAATGCGCCAGCAGGGAAGAAGTATGTCCGCTGCCCCTGTAACTGTCTGCTCATCTGCAAAGTCACCTCCCAGAGGATCGCCTGTCCCCGGCCCTACTGGTAAGAGAGAGAGGGGGCCGAGAGAAGGAGTGTGTGAAAGAGAGACTGGATGCATCCCAATTGGCACCATATTTACAATTTAGAGCACTACGTTTGACCAGATGGGCCTTGGTCGTAGTGCACTAGATGGGGAATTAAGTAATACACTATAGGGAAATAGGCTGCCATTTGGGATGTAGCCACATCATCAAAGCAGGAGGGAGGCAGACAACAAGGGTTATAGGATAAATTAATTCCCTCCCTTCATAAAACAATATTACATGGCAGAAGCAGTGTCTCAGGGCATACATATACAAGTGTGATTACTGTGAACTAGGACAATGTAGGACATTAATTACAACAGGCCCCCCAATGTGTTTTCCTGTGTAACTAAGTTTTCAAGATATATAACTTTCAAACTACAGAAAAACTGCCTGTATGATGCATTTTGTTATGCTGCGTTTTGCATCATATGATGCAAAATGCCTCATACCGGCTGTATTTCTGTATTTTGAAAGTTATGTATCTTGAAAACTTGATTGCTGACATGCAAAGCATTTTGGGACTATATCAACAATGGACTATTTTATTAAACAAATACCAAAAGATAGTTACTGGGTGGAGTTTTCCTTTAAGGGCTGCATTAGGCTAACCCAGTGCATAGATAAGGTAGTTGACTTGTATGGAACTTACGCTTGGTTGCATTTAAACCTAGCTAAGAATACTGACTTGTAGACTGAACAGTGAGTTATGTGGTTGCTGTTTTGTCTTCCTGGCACTGATTCTGCTGATAGCAGCTATTTTGAATAAGGGTCTACTTGCGGTGACTGTGATGTGAGGTTGTTTTCCCTTCTAAACATGAATGCACTAACTGTAAGTAACTCTGGAAAAGAGCGTCTGCTAAAATAACTTAAACATTTTTTTAAATGTAGTTGACCGGAATGGTTACACTCTGTTACAATTCAATCTAGGATACTGACTTGTAGACTGACCAGTGAGTTCTGTGGTTGTGTTCCCCCAGTATACTGACTTGTAGACTGACCAGTGAGTTCTGTGGTTGTGTTCCCCCAGTATACTGACTTGTAGACTGACCAGTGAGTTCTGTGGTTGTGTTCCCCCAGTATACTGACTTGTAGACTGACCAGTGAGTTCTGTGGTTGTGTTCCCCCAGTATACTTACTTGTAGACTGACCAGTGAGTTCTGTGGTTGTGTCCCCCCAGTAAGAGGATAATAAACCTGGGTCCAGTCCACCCTGGTCCAGCCAGCCCTGACCCCCAGCCGTCCGGAGCTCGGGTCTCCTGTGGACACTGCAGCAACACTTTCCTGGTACAACCCTTCCTGCACCTCTCTCAAAGCCATTATATACAGTAGGCTGCATCCCAAGTGGCATCTTATTCCTGCCAAAGGGCACCAGGGCCCAAATGTTTGATTGTGTCTATAGGTAAATGAGGTGTGTGGTTAAGATTTGGAAACATAGTCCAGTGTCCAAAGGCTTATTGGGTTAATAGGTAATCAAATTAGTGTAACAATTTTCCAGATTCCCGTTAAAATAAGTAAGGGTTGCAAAAATAACCCTATTAATCAACAAAACAAAAATGCAAGTTCTCCAAGAATCAATCATTTAGTGTTATTTACACGAGTGCAACATACTATTTGCTTAGTATTAATTACTCTTACATGAACAACAACATACACCGGCCAGTTTATTTGCCTCCAGAACAGCCTGAATTCTTTGGGCATGGATTCTACAAGTCGTGAAACATTCCACAGGGATGTTGGTCTATGCTGACGTGATGGCATCACGCAGTTGCTGCAGATTGGACAGCGGTACACCACCGCCACCAGCCTGTACCGTTGACACCAGGCAGGATGGTACCATGAACTCATGCTGCTTACACCAAATCCTGACTGCCATCAGCATGACGCAACAGGAACCGGGATTCGTCGGACCAGTCAATGTTTTTCCACTCTTCAACTGTCCAGTGTTGGTGATCGCGTGCCCACTGGAGCCGCTTCTTGTTGTTTTTAGCTGATAGGAGTGGAACCCGGTGTGGTCGTCTGCTGCAATAGCCCATCCGTGACAAGGATCGACGAGTTGTGCGTTCCGAGATGCCGTTCTGCACACCACTGTTGTACTGCACTGTTATTTGTTTGTTTGTGGCCCGCCTGTTAGCTTGAACGGTTCTTGCCATTCTACTTCGACCTCTCAACAAGCTATTTTCACCCACAGGACTGCCGCTGACTGGATGTTTTTTGTTTGTCGGACAATTCTCAGGAACCCATAGACACTGTCGTGAGTGAAAAGCCCAGGAGGGCGGCAGTTTCTGAGATACTGGATCCGGCGTGCCTGGCACCGACGATCATATCACGCTCAAAGGAGTTTATGTCACTAGTTTTGCCCATTCTAACGTTCAATCGAACAGTAACTGAATGCCTCTGTCTGCCTGCTTAATATGGCAAGCCACAGCCATGTGACTCACTGTCTGTGGGAGCGATCCATTTTCGTGAACGGGGTGGTGTACCTAATAAACTGGCCGGTTAGTGTATGTACAATTAATTAAACAGAAACTATTACCACATTCAGAACCACAGACAAGTTAATGTTATATGTTTGAATATGCAGGTAGTGTGTATGTATTCTCTTCACTGACTGTTTCCTCTCACCCTGACAGCATCCAAATGGTACCCTACTCCCTATTTAGTGCACTACTTTTGAGTAGAGCCCATATACAGCTCTGGTCAAAAGTAGTGCACTATTTAAAAAGAATGCACTATTTAGGGAATAAGGTGCCATTTGGGACGCATACTCTATCATATTGACATAAGTGTCTTGTAATATGTTTCAGTGGACAGAGTTTACTGACAGGACACTCGCCAGGTGCCCACACTGCAGGAAAGTGTGAGTATCTATCTGTCCACACGGTTCCCAGTCAATACAGAGGAGTCCATTAAAAGGGATTAAACAATATGCTCAAAATATTGTCCTCCAGTGGTGGCTGGTGGCACTTTATATCGGAGGACATGCTCATAGTTGTGGCTGGATGACTGTATCAAAGACACATGGTTTCCATACCATTCATTCCACATCAGCCATTGCTATAAGCTGTCCTCCACTCGCCAGCCTCCACTGATGTCCTTCATAGTATTCTTTTCTGAAATATGTGTCCCCTTGTGAACTGTAGGCAGTTGCTTGAACTATGTAGTGGGTCAGATTCCTATACCGTTAGCCTGTAGCATTAGTCTTCAGGATAAGCTCTTTACTGACTTGTTGTGTGCAATCTCTCAAGTCTGAGCTCAGTTATTCTTACACAACCTTTTGTTAGTATGACTTGCTTCAGCAACTAACAATTTAAACAATTTAACAATTCAAGTTCTTTTGGACAGCCGAAGCAAGTCAGACAATTCTTCTCCAGGAAAATGACCCTTTCGATTGAATGTTTACATTCCATTTCTCCCCTCTCCTTTGCCACACTCTTCGACATGCAGCTCCTCTATTGGGCAGAGGTACCCTCGAAGGCGGAGCTTGTGGTGTTTTCTACTATGCTTGCTTTTCAGCCTCTCCGCTGCTGGGCTGGTAGTGAGTACACACTCCATACTGTCCACTCTACATGACATTACTTGACAAACTAATATCGCAGATGTATCACAAACACTGCAATCTGCCACCGCCTAAGCCCCTTTATGAGCCAGGAAAAACCCTGTCGTGTGTCATCTCGTTAAGTGTTCTCTCTCCCTCTTCTATGTCTGTAGGACCCATTTCTCACCACTAACACATTGCAACCAACAAAAAAAAATGTGTTACATGCGCCATTTCTTTCTCTCTGTGTGTTTTGTAGGCTGGTACGTGGGTGAAGGCCCAGGACTACGGGGGTATCTATGCCTCCTGGGCCGTGCTGATCCTGTTGGTACTCCTGACCCTGGGCCGGGCTCTATACTGGGCCTGCATGCGTGTTAGTGAGCCCCTACAGAACTTCACATAGACACACACACACAGGTGTAGGTTGAAGTTGCCCCTAGATGGTGATCTTGGGTCAGTTTTGCATTTCCCCCTCTAATGGCTAAGGTTAGGATTGGGGGAAGGGAAGCTGATCCTAGATGCGTACCTAGGGGAAACTTTACCCCAAAGCCACACACACAGGGGAGAGGAGACCCATGGGGGGAGGCTTTAAAAAAATATTTATTTAACTGGAAATCAAAACAAGAAGTTCTCCTTCCCTTTAGTCTGTTCAATGTGTTTCCAAACTGGATGATGAAGAACATTTACTTGCTCCCGAAGGAGCAGTAGCTTGACTGCTACATTACTAATTAATGATGAATTTATGATATTATATATATTATAATCCTATGGCCAGTAAGGGGTTAAGTTAGTTTTAACATGTTCAACTACTGTCCCTTCCCTGTTTTAATCGTCACTCAGGCCATATCATGGCATCATGGCTCAGTTGAAGAAAGTCTTAAATTATGACGTAGCCCTCGGATAAGACGGCTACTTCGCAACACTGATTTTATGTTCTGTTTTTGGGCATTTGACATGATTGAGTTATTTGTTTTGGTAAACCCTTGAAGCATTATAGAAAGGCAAATTAAGCTCAAATGAGGCCAGTGCAAGGTGAACACCACCCAAGTTACCCTCCTTTGCCCGTCATGGTGCATAATCTGTGGGACTGTCAGTCTTTGATCCAAAGTAGCTTGGAAGCCTTAAAAGCAGTTGGAGAGAAAGATTGAACAGCCTCATCTCAATCTGACTGGACACGCACAGCCCTGCTCTCGATCTCTTACACACACAGCTAATAGCTTAGATGTAAGGCTAACAGTAAGCTGTCAGTGTAACCCATAGATATGTACACTGTACTATAGTGCTTCAAAATGATGAAAGCCCTCAATGGTGCTGCCCGTGTTAAAACAGGCTTTGGGCCAAGTGTGCCCACTATCCAACTCGATGGTTGAACTACAGTACATATTTGCCTGGCTACCCATCTAACGTTTCTTCTCCACAATGAGTCTGGATTTGCTTTCCTCCCTGACCCTTTGAAAAATGCGAAAACATTTTGACCGTTCTGATTGGTCCTAGAAACCGATGGGTTGGGCCAGAGCCGGCTGATATGAATCACGTCATTTTGACATCCGCACAAATGACTTCTAGGATGGCAGGTTCAGACTGATGTATGGAGCGATCAATAGAGCAGCGGAATTAAATTGGGGATGAGTTGTCAGGCAAAATCTACCCTCCATGATCAAAATGAGTCCTTGATGACAGAGGCAGGCTGTGGTTGTTGTAGACCCTGTGCTTCAGTGGCTGTCCTTCAGGTTGGGATGGCATCCCAAATGGAACCCTATTCCCTATATAGCGGACTCCTTTTGTCCAGAGCCCGTATATGGCTCTGGTCAAAAGTAGTGCACTAAATAGGGAATAGGGTTCCATTTGGGACGCTGTCAGGGTGAGAGGAAATGGTCAGTGAAGAGACTATATACACACTACCTGCATATTCAAACGCACTCAAACTAACCATATCATATTAACTTGTCTGTGGTTCTGAATGTGGTAGTTTCTTTTATTTATTACAGATGCGTTGGTTTCTGTTTAATTAATTGTACATATTTGTTGTTCATGTGAGAGTAATTATTACTAAGCAGATTATGTTGCACTCGTGTGCATAACACTAAATGATTGATTCTTGGATAACTGTTATTTTTGTTTTGTTGATTAATAGGATTATTTTTGCAACTCTTACTTATTTGAATGGAATCTGGAAAGTTGTTACACTGATTTGATTACCAACTAACCCATTAAGCCTCTGGAACCAGGACTATGTGTCCAAATCTTAAATCACACACACTCCATTTACATAGACACAATAAACATTTTTAACCACAAACCACATTTTCCACGTTAATGGCATAATTTTACACACACACACACAGCTCTTGGAGATGGTTACCCTGCTTGACAGAACTGTTACAGTAGCAGTGAGTTATTTGAAAATATGTTATTATAATTATCATGTTTTAATCATGATATTATGTACAATATTGATCATGTTAATGATACCAATGATCAAGAACCTGGCTGATGATGCTCTTTTCAGAGTTTGTTTACACACAATAAAGACATGTATGAAAATATCAGAATGCTTTTTAGGCTGTTTTGTGTTTATTTGTTATTGCTTTTAAGACAGTTTACAACATCTCAATAACAATACAATAATCAAAACCAAACATAACAAGACAAAACAAGTAGTTCAGATACTCAGACACATTCACAGGTTGTTATACTTGGTGTCAGTTGGGTCATTTCATGAAAAGAGTGCCTTTTGAATCCCGTTTATATTTTAAGTAGAAATTGTGCACCAATATTTCATTTTAATAGCCTGTTATATTAATAATAATAATAATATGCCATTTAGCAGACACTTTTATCCAAAGCGACTTACAGTCATGCGTGCATACATTTTTTTTGTGTATGGGTGGTCCCGGGGATCGAACCCACTACCTTGGCGTTACAAGCGCCGTGCTCTACCAGCTGAGCTACATGCCCTGGAACATTGGTGTCTACTAAGTACTTTTTTTAACTTCTAGCTTTGGGCTGGATGTGTCAATGTGTAGTTCATTTAAGCAATAGGGCCTATGGGGTTGTGGTATATGGTGAACATACCACGGCTAAGGGCTGCTCTTAGGCACGACGCAACGCGATTATAAACTGGTTACCAATGTAATTAGAGCAGTAAAAATACATGTTTTGTCACACCCGTGGTATACGTTCTGATATACCACGGCTGTCAGCCAATCAGCATTCAGGGCTCGAACCACCCAGTTTATAAACATACATAATCTATGAGCAGAATTACTGTTTTACCTCAATTAGCCACAAAATCCCTAGCTTGAAAGCAACTGTTTTTCTGGAAACTGAGCTGTACCAATTTCCCTACATTTTCCCCCATGTGGTCCAGCCCCCTAGCAATTTGAGTTCAACCAATGAGCTTCAGCCCCTTGCCATATGAGTGACAGCTAGCATGATGCACACACAGCAGAGCGAGAGAGGAATGACGTGGTGCACATATGTGATGTAGTACGCAATTTTCATGGACCACTTTTGGCTTGTGAGCGTTGCTTTCAGAACTACTGGCTAAAAAGTAAGAGAGAATCCCTTTAAATTAAGTGCCCTTTACTATAAACAACATGGAGAATTTAATCAATCAGATTTTTTATATGAAAAAGGCTTGCTTGCTAAAGTGCAAAAATTCAGCATTTTGTCCCTCTGTCAACACTGTCACTTCTAGGAAGATTTTAACCCACTTAATCCCAAAATTTATCCAAGTTTCACCATCATTGTAAAGCGCTCGCTATTCTGTTGCTTTGACAAAGTGATTTCTGAAGATTATTAATTTCATGTGATTAGTGATTCATTTACGTTTGTCCCTCATTTTAAGGTCAACCCTGTTACGTGAACGGAACTCTTTTTTTTAATATGGTGAAACTATTCCTTTTGAAATATTATTTTCAAACAAACATTGAAAATCTAATAGTCAAATCATAGAGTAAAAGCAGGTGAGCTGGTTCTACTCTTTTTAGGCATTTTGTGGTGGAAAACTGAGCAGGTCGAGCATAACACGTCGTCAACCCTGTTACCCATAGATAGGCTAGAAATGTTTAAACAATTAAAATGTTTTGTGAAGCATGCATAACATGTCTACTCTCTGTTGCACACAACCTTGCTTCCAATCACCCTGTCACAAGGGGATTTATGGCTGATTTAAGAAGAAATCGTCAACCCTGTTACAGTCAACACTGCTACTTTATTTGGCACTGACTATAGTTATTTCTTTTTAGATGGGAAAACGTTGTTTATGAAGATGGAACGTGCCTTTTATGACAATGTTAAAATTAGGTGAAATCCTTTTTTTTTTTTTTACCAAGTTACATTTCTCAAATGGCACCAAATTGGAGGAACAAACCAGTTACATTCTATCCAAATTAAAAGTTGTTGAGAGGTTCCATTATGCCTTGTGATGTACACCAGTGAACCAAAGGTGCACACATTTTTAATGACCTCACACACACACAGTCACACACACCTAACCTAGCTCCCTTTGGGCTCTTCTTGAGTTTCATGCGGATATATTTTTTCCTCGACACAAAGAGATGGAAGGATTAGAAACATTGAGAAACCTTTCAAAAACCACAAGCTCCCTGGAGAGAGAGATGAAGAGGGAGGGGTGAGAGAAGAGTCAGCAGGAAAAAAGAAAGACAAGTGTTTTTTGGGGAGAAAAGCGTGCATCCCAAATGGCACCCTATACCCTATATAGTGCACTACTTTTGACCAGGGCCCTATGGGGCCTGCACTATACAGGGAATAAGGTGCCATTTGGGACACATTTAAAGAAAGAGGGAGGAAAAGACTATTGGTCCTGTAACCTTCTGGGTTTAAGTGGCTTTAGCTCAGAGGGCATTAGCAAAAAAGAGTGGGGCGGTAATCTGGGTCCTGTTAAACACACACACACATATACACAGGCTTTGTCACAAATGGCACCCTATTCCCTATATAGTGCACTACTTTTGACCAGGGAGGGCTCTGCATAGGGAACAGAGTACCATTTGGGATAAAGCAACAAACACAAACTTACACTTTCCATCCTCACATACACACATGAGGAGAACTGATGTTCCCACTAAACTCATTGCCATGACTGAATACTGGGCCCTGAAAAAACACTAAAACCTTCATCCCTCTTACTCCTAATAGGATTTGACCCTAAGACGCGCAGCATGACCCTCATCCCACACAATACCATCATCCTGTCTCACATACAGGCTGCAGCATCCCAAAATACACCCTGTACCCTTTGTAGTGCACTACTTTTGACCAGGGCCCATAGAAAATAGGTTGCCATTTGGGGCGCCACCACAC